TGATAACGATATTACGATAAGCATTACTAAGCAAATTATTGGCAAATGTATTAATAAGCAAAAATTTTATTCGGTATCGGGGCGCAGGCTTCAAATCGGGCAAGTATGATTATTTTTACTATACTGTATTAAACCTCATCCATTAAGCTGATTTGCTTGCTTAACATTTGGAAATAAATCTAAGAAATTAAAATATTTGGTTAAAATAAAGTTAAGCAACGTGCCACCAGCTTTTAGGTCTGTTTCAAATTGGAAATTAGCTTAGAATATTATATTTAACTAATGACAATTCTTTGTCTATTTACAAACTTCTCTTTTTGGGGGATCCTACTAGAATAATATTTTAATGATTATAATAATAAAAATTATTTCTAACGAAACACGTTTATGCAATAATTTTTGGAACGAAAACTTTATTGGAACCTTCTTTCCATTTTTCACCAATTCGAGAAAATATATTATTTTATCTCAGTATAAATTATGTTCTTAAAATGTCAAGGAATTGGTATCATTATTTGATGCTAGAATTTATCCTATTAATGTGCCAAATCATATAAATCAGAATTGTATAAATTTCTCGTATAAAGTACGATTCATTAATTTAAGAATTGGAAAGATTTATAATTCGATACCTGGAAGCAGGTTCTAAATCAGTAACGATGCGCCTAATGAGGCAATCGTCTTATTCTGTCAAAGAAGTAATAATTTGATCGACTTATTTAATAATGTCTAATCAATTTAGATGAAAATTTTACATGATTCAATTTCTTTTATAAAGTTACATTATATAATTTCATTTAAAGGTATAAGAATTACACTTATATATAAAGCTCCAAAAGATATCACATGTAATGAATTCTAGTACTTCTATTAATCTTTTTAGAATTTTAATAATGTTGATTCATAGCTACAATTATTAAATTTGTAAATGAAAGCAAGATTTGAATATTTGAACATGATTAATGTTGCAAATAAAACTTCACCTACCAATTTCTGTTAATTATTTTACAAGAAATCCTCTTCCAATGACTAGTGGCAAAGTGACAAATAGGTCTATCATAAAATTAAATTATATTAATAAAATAATGATGATTAAATTGTTAGCAATTATTGCAGTATTTACGGTTATACATCATTTGTCATTTAATGACCCGCAGTGTCTCGGTAATAATAGACAGCATTGCACGCTGCAGTATTGGGCCGAATCTCGTTGTCATTAGGGTTAGTAGCCAGGTTCGATTCCTGGGTGACTTTGACGCTATGGTGCCAAGCCAACATCTATGTAAAGAACCGATCCCGTGGTCTTGGTAGTGATCATGTAGGTAAATGGATTGTCTGTCACAAAACGCTTGCGCATTCATAAACAGTTAACTCGGTCATTCAGAAATCCATAATCGATTATATTTACATATTCTATTTTTATTGCTTTACTAATAAATAATTTTTTCGCATAATCGGTTTAAATGTTTGCTTATGATTCTACTGCGCTTTTATAAAAAAAAAAAAAAAAAAAAAAAAAAAAGCGAAATATCATGGCTGCGTCACCCCGCGAAAATTTTAAACTAATATAAATATTGAATCACTAATCATATTACTTTTTAATAACTTTTTTTTTTATTTAATCATCTAAACAATTAAATTAATGAAAATCGATACGAACGATACAGTAATGATTTCTAATATACCTTATCAAATTCGCTTTTTTTTTCGAGATATTGAAATTTAAATTTTGTTTACGACCTTTTCTTGGATTCTATCAAAAATAACACTAGCTGCATTCTCCCATGTAAGGTCCAACATAATATTGTGAGCAGCACCTCCAATGATATCAAAACCAACACCATAAGCTTCAGCAGTTTCTTTTATAATTTTAAAATCAAATAATTTATCTTCTTCGGCACCAATCACAATTATAGGACATTTAATTTTCGTGGGGTCAACAAAAGGTTTAAGAAGTTCGAACATTACAGTGAAAAAACTAACCCTATCAAGTTTTGGATGAATATCTAAAGCCATTGAATCTGGAAATGCCTTTGAAAGGAAAGCTTTCTTCATTAAATCAGGAGTTCCAATTATTGCATATGGTTTTAATGTAAAGATCGCTTTAAGAATTGGGAGAATTGGTGTATTTGAAAGTGATTTACGAACGTATTTAAAAGCGCTTATTTTATAGCTGTACGGTGAAAATGTAGCAAATAAAACTCCACCCGCTACTTTTTGTTGATTATCTTTAAGATAATTTTGAAGTATTCCACCTCCAAGTGAATGGCTAGCAGTAAAATGAAATAAATTTAACATCAATTTTAAAAAATAAAGTTTATAAAATAATCATGTTAATAATTACCCAACGAGAATAGGTTTATCTCCGGTTCTAGCAATTATTGCATCGGTCACAGCTGATACATCATTTGTAATATCATTTAGTGACCACCATTTATCTTTTTTTGGAGTCTTCGTACTTTGTCCATGTCCTCGAAAACTAAGGTAAAGGATCAATTTGATGAATTTAGGAATCTATCATACCTTTTTTTTCGTGACAATTTATTTACCTCATAGCGTAACAATCATGTCCTTTATTCGAGAACCACCTACAAAAATTATCCCAAGCCCAAGCTGCAATACCCATTCCATGAATGAATAAAATTGGTGGATAATTCTAATTATAATAAAAATAATAATTAAAATCGATTATATAAAGTAATATAGAACTAAAACTTATTAGTACTTGCCGATATTATTATGGTGGGTGGATAATGTAAGACTTCAATTTTAACACTTTCACATGAATCAACGAAAAAGACATCTGTATAATATTGTCCTGATGACATTTAAAAACGAAATGAATGTTTTTATTGATATAATTAATTTAAACGAAGTAAAATGATTTTCAGAGAATTTTATATAGTTTTTTTAGATCGACAGTTGTTCATTGACACACACCATATTTGGATGATTTACATTACTATAAACAGAAATATTCATCCATTAATGGAAGTTATATTAAAAAAAGGATAAACAAGATGTTTCGAGCAAAAATTTCTGAAACGATACTCAATTAATATTAATTTTTATCAATGAATCCCTAGTTTATATATATTTATATAATTGTTTTTTAATTGCTTCCGGTTATTGTTGGTGCGCAGTAAATTCAAAGATTGAAGTTTCTATATGACGTACGTTTTTAGTACAATAACGCTTTATTGTGTCATCTCAAATGGGTTAAAGAGACTTTATTTAAACTTAAAATTAAATTTTCTAAATATACTTAAATTTAAGGATTAGATGGTTAGAATAGCTCATAAGGAGCATTATTTTATGCATTTATTTTAATTTTACCTTTAAAAAAAGAGTAACTATATGCAAAATTTTTCAGAATATTCACATAATGCAGATTTTATTTTTATTTTATTTAATTTATATAAATTTTATATCTGAAAAATTATAAAAATAATAGAAAAGGTTTAGACTCGAAAAGTTCTTTTCAACAGTATCAGATAACGCAAGCAACTATAGTAGCAATCATATAAATCAGTTAAATGTTAATTAAAAATGAATATTCAAAAAATACAATTTAAATTGTATGAAAATAGTTAAATATTTAAAAAGTCTTATCAAAATAGAGCTTATTTATCTCAAGAATTAAACGAAATTTAGTTGTAAGTGATGGATTAAAAGGTATGCAAAACACGTTAAACATCATCTTAGAATTAATTAAATTACTTCAACTAATTAAAAAAGTTATTATTTCTTTAGAATATAAATCAATTAATTTATTATTTTATCTAATTAATAAATTTTGAAGTTACATTTAATCATATCCTATTATAAAAAATGGTTATTTCAATTATATTATATTGATAAAATTAATTATTATTAGAAGCAATTTGATTTTAAAATTTTATTTGTTAGATTATTTTTTTTTATCTATTATATCAAGATATATATTTTATAGAATGAATTTTTTAAATCATAATCATATTTTTTTAAATAATAAATTTATTTATTTATTAAAAAAATTTAAACCTAATATATTTAAACAAGTTTATCATATAAACTTAAGTTTTATTTATTGATAACTTAACTTTTAGCATATAGACACTTTCAAATCTATAAGAATTTAAATATATTCAAGAAATGTATAGTATAGAAACTTGGTAGAGAAATAATAGAATTACAGAAAATTTTATTTAATAATTAGTCTTAAAAATAATTTCTATTATATCATATAATATTGATTATAAAAAATATTTTTATATTAGAATAGATGTATTTTAGTCATTAATCAAGATAAATTTTTTAATATATTAAAATTTAATTACTAATATTTATATTTTATATATATAATAGAACATTTGTTAAAAAGATAAAAGTTATATTATAACAAAATTATATACTTATTATATAAGAAATACTACTATAAAAATAAGTTATACTCATTCTAATCTCTTATAAAAATAGTTTATAAATATTAAATTTTACAAAATATTCTAATGAAAAATATTTTATTAAAAAAATGAAAAAAAATATCAAAAAAATATAATGAAATATTATTTTAAATTTAATAAAAAATTTTAATTTATACATAAGAAATAATTGATAAATATAATATTAAATATTAATTTAAATAAATATTAATTAAAATAATAATAATTATATTAAATAAGATTATAAAAATAATAAAAATAATTATTAACAATATAATAAATAAAAATAAAAACTAAAAAAAAACTTCTGATATTAATTTTTATTGTAAATAATTTTTAATAAATTTAAAAATTAACTTTTTTTAATAATAATTTATTATATATTTATCTTTAAAAAATTACTAGTTAATTACATTTCATAAAATTTATTATAAAAATATTAATTTTTTAATAAAATAATTATAAACAGATTTATTTATTTAATAAAATTATATACAAATTTATCTATTATATTATTGAAGAAATAATATTTTAATATTTAATACTTATAAATTAAAATAAAAGTATATTGTAATTTTTTTTAATTATTGTTAATTATTTAACTATTATTACAATTAATTTTGATTATTAAATTATATTTTAACTATTTCATTTTATTTATTAAAATACATTATACTATCAAAATATATTTTAATTATCAAATATATTTTAATTATTATAATATATTTTAACTATTATATTAAGTTTTGACTATTATAATGTAATTTGACTATATATAATTTGATCATAATATTTTAATTATTATAATATATTTTAACTATTTTAATATTAAATTTTAGCTATAAATTTTAAGTTAAATATTTTAACATTTGAATTTTAATTTTACTTTTATATATAAATCTAATAATTATAATTATTAAAAAATTATAAATACTGAAAAATAAAAAAAGTATTTGTTTAATAATCTTTCAAATTAATTTAATATATAATTAAAAGCTAATATCAATATTTATAATAAAAAAAAAAGATTATATTTATTTAAGATAATTATATTATATAGAAAAAAATAGTTATAGATAATAATTAAATATTTAAAGTAAATATATAATAATAAATAGTAATTTTTCAAACATTATATCAATTAAAAATTATAAAATATAATGTAAAGAAAATTTCAATTAAATAGAAGCTAAGCTATAAAATTACCTTATGGGATAAGAAATTGATTTTAAGTAAAAGATGATTAAAAAATGTTATGTTACTATATAAATTTTCAACTAATAATAAATTATTCTATTTTTAAATATTATATTAAATTAATTAATAAGATAATACTAAAATTTATTAATTATTAAATTATTATTTTATAATTTTAAAATTTTTTGCTATTAAAATTATTTTACAAGATATTATTATACTAATATATTAAATATTATATTTTATATTTATTATTTTTTTTAAAAAAAAAATATATATATGTTTGTATAGTATTAAATACTCCATTTAATTATATATCCAAAATAATAGTTAAAGTTAAAATTTTAAATTTTATAAGAGTCTGAAACTTTTTTAAATAATAATATCAATTATTTTCAAATTTTATATTAATCATTTCTAAATTCTATTTTTAGATTTTTCATCTAATATTACATAAAAAATAAGAAATTTTAATAGTTTAATTAACTATAAAAATTTAATCAAATAAAATTCATTTATCATATAATAATATAAATCAAAAATCTAAAATTTGGTTAGTAGAGTTTCAAAGGTGATTTTAATAGCTTAATACTCAAATATTATATAATATAATTAACATAAATATTGATGCATACTAAAATTATAATATATATTATCAATTATATAATACTATAACATAATTTCTAACTATAAATAAATTAATATTAATTAAAATTTATTTATATAAATTTATTGATTCATTTTTATTTTATAATTAATTTGTGATTTATATAATAATTAAAAAAAAATTAGTAATTTAATTAATATTTATTAGAGATAATTATATATATTATTTTATATATGAAATAAAAAAATGAAAGAATCTCTCTTTCTATACCTAATTGTATTAATTAAATATTATTCTAAATGAGTAATAGTAAAGACTATGATGTTTTCTTAATTTTAGTGATAGTTATTAATGCAAAACTACATTTTAGACCCTTTTCATACAATTGGTAGATATCTTATAATAAGAAAATAGAATTTCTGATTTTAATTTATTTACGTATGAAAATAATAACTTTTTTAAAAGGTATAATTTTATTATAACAGTTGTAAAAAGTAATAAAGAAAACTTCAGAATGTTCAGAATATCTTTGTAACTGTAAAAAATTTTATACTAATGAACTAAGCTATTCTAGTATAAACATAGTATCTACTATTTATTAAAAAATATTTTACAATAAAACTAAATTTTCTGATTCTCTAATAATGAAATTTGATAAACTAACTATTTATAAAAAACTACTAAAAGGAGTTCTATTTTATTTATATTTTATTAACCTTAAATTAGTATATATTTTTATATTTAGAATTGCAAAATTCAAGAATAGTTAATAGGAATATGCCAGGATTGGATTAAAATCAAGTTTTTCATTTTAATTAGAAAAACAGTATTATTTTATTTCTTTAAGAATTTAAAGATGATATATGTAAATTCTATAATGAAAAAAATATAATTAAAAAAATATATTATAAAAATACATTTAATTTAGTTTTTAGCAAGCATTTTAAATTTGTAAAGTTAGTTGAATTGATAAAATTTACTGGAAGAACATTATATGAAATTGAAAATAATTTGTCATAAAAATTAATTTTTGCTATATCTTCTTATTTATTAAATGAATGAAATAATAATATTCTTATAAAAAAAATTTTTTCTTATTATTTAAAGAGACAAACTAATAGTTATATAAATTGGTATAATTTTTTAGATAAATGATAAGAATAAGAAATAATAATTGAATTATATAGTAATTTAAAATAGTTATATCCTATTAATTATTAACTAAGTGAACGTGAATTAAATATATAGAAAATGATACTTTGCAATATAAGATATTATAATGTAACACTATTTTTAAAACAGGAATCTAAGGTAAAAGTAAAAAAAAATGATTTCTAAATAAAAAATTTTTTAATTGAATAATCTATTATATTGTAATATGAATTTTATACTAGATCTTTATATTCTAATATTGAACTATATGCATTAATGCAATTATATGAACTTGGATTTTTATTAAAATAACCAATAGATTTTTATGACTCATCTGAAATTTTTTGGAGTTACTTTTAAAAAAGTTTAATAGTTAATAAAAGAGTGTTAATGAAAAATAAAGAATATTATTTATAATAGCAAATAATTTCAAATATGATGAATTGCA